ATTGTCTACTCCGATTGGCAGAGGTCTCCAGGATGTCAGACTGAGGTCTTTCCCATCACCTACAACCTGGTACTTTCAACTGGAGATGCCAGGGATCCAACCTGGGACCTTCTGCATGCAAAGCAGAGGCTCTTCCATTGAGCCACAGCTACTCCCCTATTTGGCGATTATTGTATTTAGTTATAAAATTAATATCTCACCCTTCTTAGAGCAACTTACAAAAAGAATAAAATAAATGAAAACAGCAATTAATTCAACTAAAGTAACATATTATACTAAAACAAATAAAACAAGCAACAGTACAATAGCAGCAAATTAAAATGTGTGTATATATTTAGAAAAAGTTATGCCACTTTTCCAGGAACTGACCCAAGATGGCTTATAAAATTAAAATTAAAAAACAAAATATTAAAAGATATTAATGAAAATTTGGCATAAAAACCTAGCCCAGCGTAAAAACATAGGCCATAAAAACAGCCCATTGAGACAGCCCATTCAAATATGGCTTCAGTGTAAATGATAAAAACAATAAAGCAACAGTACTAGGGTTGCCAAGTCGTATAAACTTACTGGCGGGGGAGCGTCACTCGGCTCTGGGAGTTCGTCTCCGACGCGCGTGTCCCGGAAGTGACCCACTACGTGGATCACGTTGGGGGCGTGGCCCCCATAATCGGAGGGAAAACCATAGAGTTTTTCCTCCAATGATCCGGGCCACGCCCCCAAAGTGAGCAATATGGTTGCGTCACGCTGCGCTTCAGGGTGCGGAGTTTTCCCCGGGGCCCAATTCCGCGGCAGCAGAAATCGGGCCTCCAAAGCGGGGGTTTACTCGCCCCCCGCCCCCACTTGGCAGCCCTAAACAGCACTGATTAAAAACTTGTCAAGAACAATCAACTCTGTAGGATGTTTCATATACACACACACACACGGGAAAAGAATCTTAACCAATCTCTGCAAGGCCATCAATGAGGGGCTGTTTGATCCTACAAGGAAAGGGACTTATGAAATGTTAACTATCTAGGCCACAAATAATATGTACTGAACTGAACGTATCCACCAGTTGCCAGCAGAGCAATGAGGAAGGTGGCTCCATCTTGCCTCTTTCGTTGTTGCTCATCTTTCCACTTGTTGCCGCAAATGAAAGGAGAGAGATGGAGATTCCTGTAGCCAAGACTTTTGGGAGTCCGGGGGCCTCCCACTGGCTGCCCTCTATTTTTGGGCTGTGGGAGCGGGTTCTGCCTCTGTTCTGGGCTGTGGGAGCAGGTTCTGATGCCAACAGTGGGGACTTTAACTAGGAGAAATGACTTTAATGTGGCTGTAGAGACGACAGAAGGGCAGATGCTGGCCAGATAAATCCCTGACTGTTTTGGTGCTTCCTTTTGCTTTTAAGATGGAGCTGCGGTGGCTTAAGTGGTTAAGACGCTGAACTGCAGGCTGTGGAAGGTCGGTAGTTCAGCAGTTCGAGACCCGAGTGTGCCGCATGACAGAGTGAGCTCCCGTCTCTAGTTCCAGCTCCTGCCAACCTAGCAGTTCGAAAGCAAGAAATTGCAAGTAGATAAATAGGTGCCACTTCAGTGGGAAGGTAACAGCGTTTCGTGCGCCTTGGTGTTTAGTCATGCCGGCCACATGACCATGGAAACGTCTTCAGACAGCGCTGGCTTTTACCTTTTACCTTTGCTTTTAAACTTTGAAGAGTCGCAGGGGAAGATAGACCTGCCCTCAGGAAGTAATGCCTAGTAGACCTGGCCCTTTAAAATGTAAAGGGATGAGGTACCTAATAGCTGATGGTTGGGGCTAGCTTCCCTTTCCTCCCTCTTCCCTCTCCATGCTTTTTTGCCTCTCTGAAACCAAAACACTGCCATAATTCCAGTCAACCAAAAAAGGGGAAAAAAAGATGCCAGGTGATAGGTAGAAAAGAGTAAGAGTCCAGTAGCACCTTAAAGACTAACATTTGTGGTAGGGTATGAGCTTTTGTGAGTCACTGCTCACTTCTTCAAATACAACTAGAATGTGAGTCTATCTGTCCTACATATTGGAAAGTGGAGTGATTTCAGATGCCAAATGACATTAGCAGGCAAATGACAATAGCAGGTGTGATTGGATTAGGTGTGGTATGCAGAAAGGTAGTAGGTGTGGAGAAATCTGCACTGGTAATGAGACAGGAAACCTAGGTCTTGATTCAATCCAGGTGGATGTATTGTCTTGTGTTTCATTATCAGTTGGAATTCAGCAGTCTCTTTTTCTCATCTCCCTTTGAAATTCCTTTGTAAGATACCTGCTACTTTTAAGTCAGCAACTGAATGTCCTGGAAGGCTGAAAAGTCCCCCCACTGGTTTTTGAATGTTGTGGTTTCTGATGTCAAACTTATGTCCATTAATTCTTTGTTAGACTGTCCTGTTTTTCCAGTGCAGAGAGTGGAAGGGCATTGCTGACATGGGATGGCATAGATCACATTAGAGGATGAGCTTGAGATGGTATGGCTGATGTTGCTGGGTCCACTGATGGTGTTGCTAGAATCTATATGAGAGCAAAGTTGGCATCTTGGTTTGTTGCAGGCCTTGGTACCAGAGTCCATGTTACTGTTAAGTAGTTTATCATTGCGGGTGAGAAGTTGTTTCTGGTTAGCAGCTGTCTGTGAGCAAGAAAAGGTCAGCTCCCCGGGTGCCTGTGTGAGGGAAGTGTCACTATCCAGCATGGGTTGTAGGTTATTAACAATGCGTTGAACTGGCTTGAATTGTGAGCTATAGGTCACCACCAACGGTGTTTCGTTGTCATTTTATTTAGGCTTGTCTTGTAGTAAGCTGTCTCTGGGTATCATTCTGGCTTTTCCAATAATCTTTCTCACCATATCAGGAGGATACTGTAGTTGCAAAAATGCCTGTTGCAGATCCTTAGAGTGAGCAGAGGTCATTTCGGGGGGGAACGCGGGGGATCGCAGTTCCCCTGGGTGAGGTACGGGGGGCAGGGCCTATGACGAAGCCCTGCTTCCGGCTGCCCCGCTTCCGGCCCTCATTCAGCCAGGAGGAGGCAGGAGAAGAGGGAGGGTAAGTTGCTTCCTCCCTGCCTCTCCCCACCCCTGCCTGCCTGGGGCCAGGGAGGGCCTTTGCGGGGCTTCCTTGCACTCCCGCCGGCCTTGCAGGTCCACCGCCGGGCCCCTCATGGGGCTCGGCAGTGGAGCTGCAAGGCCGGCGGCCGGGCCCATTGGGGGTGGGGTGTGTGGCCTTATGACACACTTCCGGTGATGTCAGGGGGTGTGGCATATGCTAATGAGTTATGCTAATGAGTCCCCCTAGCTCTTTTTCTACGAAACGACCCCTGCGAGTATCTCTGAATGAGGGGTTGGAGCAGATGTGACTATAGCGTAAGGCTTGGCTATGCACAATGTATTGTTTGATGTGGCAATAGGTGACAGCTTTGTCATACAAATCCCTTATGCATTTTGCCATACAAGGTCTAGGGAGGGGGGATCAGAGAATTCACCTAGTACTGGACCTTTCCAATTTCCAACAGCAGTTAAGTTATATTACCATTCAGGACATAACTTTTCCCTACTCCCAGAAATTTGGGAGTGTTCTAGGCCATGTTACTTATCCCTGAGCTTTGGCTGATTTCAGGTTTAATTTGGGCTTGGGGATATCCAGATGCACACTCCTACTTCATCTCTAGTAGGAGCTGCGGTGGCTCAAGTGGTTAAGACGCTGAACTGCAGGCTGTGGAAGGTCGGTAGTTCAGCATTCCAAGACTCGAGTGTGCCGCATGACGAAGTGAGCTCCCGTCTCTAGTTCCAGCTCCTGCCAACCTAGCAGTTCGAAAGCAAGAAATTGCAAGTAGATAAATAGATACCACTTCAGTGGGAAGGTAACAGCATTCCATGCGCCTTGGTGTTTAGTCATGCCGGCCACATGACCACGGAAATGTCTTTGGACAGCGCTGGCTCTTCGGCTTTGAAACGGAGATGAGCACCGCAACCGTAGAGTTGGCTTTGACTAGCTTTCGAGCAAGGGCACCTTTACCTTTACTTCATCTCTGCCATCTCAGCAGGTGACTCTAGACAAGAGAAGCTTTTTCAGCCTCACCAACCCCTCATATGTATGTAATTTCAGAGTGTTCAAAATAGTAGTAGTAGTAGCAGCAGAAGTAGTAGTAGTGTTTATTTATTTATTTATTTATTTATTTATTTATTTATTTTATTTCATTTACACCCTGCCCTCCCCGAACGCGGGCTCTGGGCGGCTTACACAGGTACAAAAGTGCGGTAAAAATACAACGTTAAAACAATTAAGGCACAAGTGCAGTAAAAGTCAACGGTTAAAACAGTTTAGGCAAAAATGCACATCTCACAGGATACATAAATGACTACAATACTTACTCCCTATTGCATATCCCAGTAGGGCTGCACCAGCTGCAGCCTCCGAATTTGTGACAAAGGCAGCCCCATGTAGAGAGCGTTACAGTAATCTAACGTCGAGGTGACCGTCGCATGGATCACTGTGGCCAGATCGCCGCGGCTAAGGAAGGGGACCAACTGCCGCACCAGCCGTAGATGATAAAAGGCTGCTTTGGCAGTGGCCGCCACCTGGGCCTCCAGCGTTAAGGTGGGGTCCAGGAGCACTCCCAAACTCCTAACCTCCGAAGCTGGCACCAAAGGTGCCCCATCGAAGGCCGGGAGCGGGAGCCCCAATCCCATACCACCACGACCCAGGCACAGGACCTCCGTCTTCGCCGGGTTCAGCTTCAGCCGGCTCAGCTTGTTGTGTTAACAACAATTACTGTAACAAGTTTGATTTATCATAGAATGGACTTGTGGCCATTGCTGGGTTGTTGCTCACATTTTTAAGCATTATGGTAAATATACTTTTGACTTTCTGAGCCTAAATATTCTTGCCTATTGTTGGTTGAGAGTAGGATAATCCTGTAGCAGGTTAAGGTATTTATTTGTAGGCTGATTTCAAAATTTAATGAATGCAATATTAAGAGTGTTTCTTTTATTTATTTAAAAACAGGAGACAAATGTTTTGGGGTTTAAAGGTCCTCGCAAAATGAGTGTCATCATCCCAGGAATGAGTATGGACCATGAAAGGGTTTCCATCAGACCACGCAATGTAAGTCACTTTCAGAGCAATCCTAAACAGAACTACATGTTAAGAGCGTAAGAATATAAGAAGAGCCTTGCTGAATCAGACCAGGGGTCCATCTAGCCCTGCATCCTGTCTCACACAATGGCCAACCAGTTCCTCTTGAGGGGCAACAACAGGGCATGGAGACAGAAGAGGCCTTCCCCTGCTGTTCTTTCATGGCACTCGGATTCTAAGGTTTACTGCCTCCAAATGTGGAATTTCCCTTTAGTCCATATGGCTAGTAGCCACTGATAGACCTGTCCTCCATGGATCTGTCTAATCCCCATTTAAAGCAATTTATGCCTGTGGCCATCACTACATCTTCTGGCAGCCAGTTACACATTTTAATCACTAGTTGTGTAAAGAGGTATTTCCTTTTGTCTGTCCTGAATCTACTACCCATCAGCTTCATTTGATGCCCTTTTCAGTTATTTTGGGAGAAGGAGAAAACGTTCTCTTGGTCAGTTCGCTCTACCCTATGCATAATATTATAGACCTCTATCATGTCCCCTGTTAGTCATCTCTTTTCCAAACTGAAAAGCCCCAGGCTCTTCAGCCTTTTCTCATAGGGAAGGTGCTCCAACCCCCTCATCATCTTGGTTGCCTTCTTCGTTACTTTTTCCAACTCTACCATGTCCTTTTTGAGATATGGTGACGAGAACTATACACAGTATTCCAAATAAGGCCACACCATAGATCTATGCAGGGTTGTTATAATATTGGCCGTTTATTTTCTACCCCTAACGCAGAGTTTGCCTTTTTTTCACTGTTGCAGCACACCGGGCTGACATTTTCATCGAGGTATCTACTATGACCCCAAGATTTTTTTCCCCCTCTCAGTCTCAGCGAGTTCAGATCCCTTTAGACTACATCTGAAGTTGGATTTTTTTTTTGTCCCAATGTGCATCATGTTACACTTACCAATGTTGAACTTTATTTTACACATTGTCACCCACTCACCCAGTTTGTGGAGATCCTCTTGGAGCTCTTCACAGTCACCCTTGGTTTTCACCATCCTGAATATTTTGGTGTCCTCTGCAAACTTGAGCACTACACTACTCACCCCCAGTTCCAGATCACTGATGAATAAATTAAATAGTACCAGCTCCAGTACTGATCCTTGTGGGAAGCCCACTGCTTACTTCCATCCATTGGGAGAACTGGCCATTGATTCCTGCCATTTAACCAGTTTTTAATCCTCTTAAGGAGCTGCGGTGGCTCAAGTGGTTAAGACACTGAACTGCAGGCTGTGGAAGGTCAGTAGTTCAGCAGTTCGAGACCCAGGGTGCCACATGACGGAGTGAGCTCCCGTCTCTAGTTCCAGCTCCTGCCAACCAAGCAGTTCGAAAGCAAGAAATTGCAAGTAGATAAATAGGTACCACTTCGGTGGGAAGGTAACAGTGTTCCGTGCGCCTTGGTGTTTAGTCATGCCGGCCACATGACCACGGAAACGTCTTCGGACAGCGCTGGCTCTTCGGCTTTGAAACGAAGATGAGCACCGCAACCCTAGAGTTGGATTCGACTGGCTTTCGAGCAAGGGAACCTTTACCTTTACCTTAATCCTCTTATCCCATGACTGCTAACTTGACTCAGGAGTCTTCCGTGCAGTACCTTGTCAAAAGCCTTTTGAAAGTCCAAGTATATAATGTCTACCAGTTCACCATTATCTACATGCTCGTTCACTTTCTCAAAGAACTTCTAAATCTACTGAAGTCTGTGGGCTTAGTTGGACATAAATCTGTTTAGGCTGGGACTGTATATCTGGTAAACTCTGTGACATTAACTTGTCAACAGTAACTATGGCGAAGTGATCCAATCAAGGTTAAATTGTGAGTTCTACAGCCTCATTGTGGTTGCTTCCCTATGAGCCATCTAGTTTTGAATTGCTATGTATTGTTCGCTCAGTTTTAATAGAGGATCAGAGGTTGTTGGCGGAACATTTCATTCTTATGGTTTTCTGCTTGTTTTCTGATCTTTTTTCACTCCTATTATTTGTAATATTTTAACAATAAAATGCAGTTGCAGTGCCAGACTGCTTCATGTGGAGAGTCAAAGAACTACTGAGGTTACCCAAGGCTCCTGTTCCTTTAAATTTTTGTTCCGCTACCCAGGGATTTATGAATCAGTTGTAATTACCAGTTCTTTTCTATTAGTGGTTGTGGTGAAGATTTTCACTTTGCAAACTTCCCCCTATTGTATTTTTAAGACTGTTACAGTACTACTGTAAAATTATGATTATAAAAAATAATGAGCAGTAGCCTTGCCTACTCTCTTTCTCTCTTCCCCCCTCTGTGAACTGAATTAATTGTAGATTCTTGAATGATTGATGCAAGTCATAGAGAGGAGAGGAAATAATTAATTAGGCTGTAAGACAAAGAGGGGAGAATGAAAATTGTATGGAGAAGCAAGACTTCTGTTGATTGGGACTTTTGAGATCTTGTCTACAGGAACAGGCAATGTTAGATTTTTATTGAAAACTTAGAAATATATTAAACGCCATGTGGGACACCAGTTTCAGTTCTTTTCACAGCGGATATTAAATTTGGGGGGAGACTTGTAACCCCCCACCAACAAGTGGTGTATAAACACAGGGTGAATCCAAATCAAGATTTTACACAACACTGTACAGAGTTTTAATGAAGGTGTTGGTCAGACTGTCGGTAGCCTGTGTCCTTGTTTATATGCTATGCCATGGGTTCCAAAAGTGTTAATGTAATCATATTACATTGTGCAAGTTGGGGGGGAGTCTCAAATGTAATACTTGTGTCTAAAATAAAAGTGTAACCTAGAAAAAAGCTGTGGGATTCTGAATGGGCTGTTGCATATCTGTGACTGTCTTTACTTTTCCCAGGTTTTAAACTTCCCCTTGTAGTGTTTTAAGTTCACTTTAGAGTTGGGGTTACATTTTACATGGTTTTTAATGTAGGGTCGGCATGAGGAAGACACTTCTTTGGGACTCTTCACTGAATTAAAGCTTGTACCCCTCCTTCTTACAGGAACATGAAACACTCCTTGCAAGGTGGCAGAACAAAAACACAGAGAGCGTCATTGAGCTGCACAACAAAACCCCGGTCTGGAACGATGACACCCAATCTTATGTTTTAAATTTTCATGGTCGTGTAACACAGGCCTCGGTGAAAAACTTCCAAATTATTCACGATAACGATCGTAAGTGTGGCCTCTTTTGCTAAATTAGGTAGAAATGAGGCTTATTTGTATAACATCTTACTCTTCATATGAATTATTTGAAATGAAAGGGAGAATTTGGTCGGTTTGTTAAGACCAGAATTCACATTCAGTACAGTCCTTTCGAGCAATCTGAAGCCGGCCTAAAGCCCTCCACTTTTTGTTGGGTGTGTGTGTGGTATGCTTTGCCCTTACCTGTGCCCAATTCAGGTTAAGGAGAAGAAGAAAGAAGAAGAAGAGATTGGATTTATACCCCGCCCTTCACTTGGAGTCTCAGAGCGGCTTACAAACTCCTTTCCCTTCCCCTCCCCACAACAGGTGGGTGGGGCTGAGAGAACTCTTAACACAAACTGCTCTTTCAGGAACAGCTGTGCCAGAGCTTGTGACTGACCCAAGGTCACATCAGCAGGTGCAAGTGGAGGAGCGGGGAATCAAACCCGGTTCTCCCAGATTAGAGTCCGCGCACTTAACCACTACACCAAACTGGTTAAACATATGCGAAGCACTTCTCAGTGTCCAGCTACTCTGGTAACAGCTATGTGAAGGGAACGTGCAGAGGAGTTTAATCAATCACAGGAATGTGGGTGGCATTCATGTGGGGAAGAATTATATCTGCCCACTTATTCTAAAGATTAAGGCTTACCCCGGGCAGAATCAACCTGTCAGGTTATTGAATGAGCATCAGAATATTGAAAGTTCAGGCCATTCGGAGACAAAAGCTTGAACCCTAGGCCCTGTTTCCTCTGACACGCAGCCTTTGTATGTTGTGAGGTTTAAAAGTCCTTACAGACCTTCACTGGGGAGCCCATTCCTCTAGAATCGGGCACTTCTGCTCACAGAATACCTGTGTGTTTCAGTGAGCTGAAAAATGCCAGTGCTAAGTGGAACACAGACCTGGATAACCCAGGCTAGCCTAATCTCATCAGATCTTGGAAGCTAAGCAGGGTCAGCCCTGGTTATTACTTGGATGGGAGACCTCCCAGGAATACCAGTGTCACGACGCAGAGGCAGACAATGGTAAACCGCCTCTGAGTATCTCTTGCCTTGAAAACCCTATGGCAGTGGTGGCGAACCTATGGCATGGGTGCCAGGGGTGGCACTCAGAGCCCTCTCTGTGGGCACGCGTGCCATCGCCCCAGCCAGGCCCAGACCATCTTTAAGTGTCAAATTCTCTGCCAAATAATTTTAAGTAAATTAAAGCATTTGGGATTGCTTTCCTTACTTTGTTTGGATCAACTTAAGTTAATGTATTCAGGTTAAATTGCACTTTGCGATAAATAAGTGGGGTTTGGGTCGCAGTTTGGGCACTCGGTCTCTAAAAGGTTTGCCATCACTGGTGTAGTGGTTAAGTGTGCGGACTCTAATCTGGGAGAGCCGGGTTTGATTCCCCACTCCTCCACTTGCACCTGCTGATGTGACCTTGGGTCAGTCACAAGCTCTGGCACAGCTGTTCCTGAAAGAGCAGTTTGTGTTAGAGTTCTCTCAGCCCCACCCACCTCACAGGGTGTCTGTTGTGAGGAGGGGAAGGGAAAGGAGTTTGTAAGCCGCTCTGAGACTCCAAGTGAAGGGCGGGGTATAAATCCAATCTCTTCTTCTTCTTCTTCTCTTCTTTTCTTCTTCTTCTTCTTCTTCTTCACCATAACTCAGCTGTGATTTGATGACCAAAAAAAAGAGGAACACACAAACCATCCATAGCAGAACACCTACTCTGCAACCACCTCTGCAAAGGGTTGCAATTGGAAAGAAGGCAAGGATCTAAGCCAAGGATCCAAGCCAAGGTCTGCAATGAGAATGTGTCTGTTCTGACCTAAGTCATCCAAATTCTGCCACAACAAGACATTCATCGTTTAATCACAGTTGACAACTGTCAGTTGTGCACGTATTTACTTTCTTGGCATTGATTTTGCACTGGGATTTTTTTTTTTAATAAATGGGCAAGGACTCAGGCTAGTCAGTGGATGCAAGAAGAAACATAATGTAGACTATGAAGCACTATAGCATTATTTGTTTTTACGAGACTTATATCATGATACGATTTGATGTAGTAAATATACTTGGGTGATTTCCCACTAGCGCTGCTCCGGGGTATCTCTTCCCTTTTGCCTCGATGGTAGGTGTCAATTTCACACAAGCTGCTGCGCGGCCGCATTTTGCCTCGCAGCTTCGTGTGATTTTCCCCACGTCCACTCAATCCTCAAAAAACAGGATTGTGTAGACAGGGGGGGGAAATCCGCGTGAAGCTGCGAGGCAGCAGCTTGTGTGAAATTGACACCTACCATCGAGGCAAAAGGGAAGAGATAGAGCAGCGCTAGTGGAAAATCACCCCTTGTTTCATTTGTTTCAAGATTGTTTCTAGTCTAGCAGGCTTTTCCAGAATGTATAGTGTCTTGAAAAAGTCGTGTCAAGGCCAGTGTTCCCTCTAAGCTGAGTTGGTGTGAGCTAGCTCACAGTTTTTTAGCCTCCGGCTCACGCATTTTTGTCTTGGCTCAGGAAGGGACGGCTCCAGAGCAAACGAATTCGTGCAGTAGCCAAATTGCTCGCTCACAACTTGAATGCCAGCAGCTCACAAAGTTGAATTTTTGCTCACAGGATTCCACATCTTAGAGGGAACATTGCTCCCACTGTTCCCCCCCAAGCACAAAGAATGCAGAGCATCACTGCCCCAGACAGAGTGTTCCATCTATAAAAAGGTTTCCCTTGCTCGAAAGCTAGTTGAATCCGACTCTAGGGGGTGGTGCTCATCTCAGTTTCCAAGCCGAAGAGCCAGCTAGCATGGAAGTGTCATCCATAAAGCCCGGCAT